ATATTTTTTAATAAGAGTAGGCCGTAATGAAATTGGAGAGGTACAATTTAGAGGGTTTGATTACCAAGCAAGAGGTGCGTATTATGCATGAGTAGAAGCATTTTCCTACACTTTCAACACAAATTTAGGGGTACCTATTTTGATGAACGCGTATTATACATGGGGAATTACGTTAAATAAATTTAACTTACGTTTGTTTTTATGTATATTTTTCGGTGCAACGCACTTACATTCCAAATAATCTAATTGTTTAGAAAATGAATTATTTTTAATGAGAGATTTAAATTAATACTAAATAAATAAAAAAAATATATACGAACATTCTGTTGTTATTGTTGGAGTATTCGGTGCTTTTGGCCATAAATGTTTAATCATCTTAACAATGGGGAATCGGCCAGTTATTGTTAGAATATTAGTTTATTTAAAAGTACTTTTTCACGTGCTTATATATAACATATATCTGGTTAGCAATTTCTCCTTTATAATAGCTATAGTAAAAACTAACAAAAGTTGTTTCGTACGTATTTTTAATAGGTTTTGTCTTCCTTTCGAGAAGGTGTTCGGCACCAGAACGGAGGCTGTACAGAATCTGCCCGAATTCCACGAGCTCTCGGTTTTAGCCAACCATTTTCAAGTAATACATTTGTTTTATTTTAAACGAGAAGCCATACCCACCTGGTCGATCAGAAAAGGCGTTCAATTAGAATGGAGCAAAAACAGCATCATGTTTAGTTGAAACAGAGTCAATCTTCTTCAATTATTTTAAAGTAGTTTCATTAAAAAACATTTTGAATTAATGCAGTTACTGATATAACACAAGTAGTTTGTATTTATTCAATCGAATTTAGTCGAGGACATGAAGGGGTAAAACAGGCAACATGAAGACCCACTTCAGAACCACAATTATTTTGGAGTTTTTGAAATTCAATTTGTCAGTGTGCTACCAGGGATGTAAAAGAGGATACATTTATAAAGCAATTGTCAAGTTTGATGAAAATTGGTTGAAAGACCAATAAAACTAAGTAAGAAACCAGTAAAAATCACCTCGTCTCGCTATTTACACGGATTTTCACTATATGGGTTGACTCAATTATCAAGTTAAATGGCTGTTAAACAATTAACTTATTGTTGGCTACAACTGAGTGAAATTTGTATTAGATTGCTTGAAAATTGAAAGCGTTTTTAGTTTAAAATTTGTGTTGAAATCCATTTTTCGTTTTTGGCGGTTTTTCGCTAATCAAAGTGGCGTAGAAATAATAAAAAAATGAGGCATTGTTGAGCTCGTCCTGATGTAAGTAATCTATATACCGAGTTTGAACGACATCTTTTTTTGATCGGCTTTATCGATTTTTGATTTTTTTTTTAAATTATCAATTTTTTACGTTAAGAACCTATCTCTTACACTGTACAAGTTTGGTCAAAATCGGTTGGATGGATCTCGTGTGAAAAGGTATCACACAGACAGACACACAGACATCGTCTGTTTAATATATAGAGATTAACTCTAGAGATTTAAAATTATATATGTCCTGTTCACCGGCTTTCAATGTCACGCTGTTATGTTGTTCTTTGGAGTGCGTTATTTATTTTTTATATTTCTTAAATATATATTTTTAATATGTTTTTTACCTGTTTTTTTTTTGGGGGGGGGGTAATAACGTTTACTCTATGCAAGATCCCCAAAGTCTCTCAAGTTAGAGGGTTACCCAAGGAGTTTATTGTATAAGCTGTAAGACTAAGATGTAAGAATGGAGGTTTATGAGGATGACAAAATCCAAAGATTGATCTGCAATGTGTTCAGTCCTGACTAAGCATCTCAACTCCAGTCACTTTCCCATAGACGTCATGTAGCTTCCTCTGTCTTTTCTACAAATGTTTTATCATGGCAACTGCTCTGCTCATGCTGGTGCCTCGTATGCATGAATTTAAGCGTGCTACTAGATTGGCATTTAGGTCCCACCCTTTCACTGCTGAAAATAGTTAAATGCAACTGACACTTCTACTCCAACAGCCTCTTCTCTCGCACTTCACGACAGTGGAACTTCCTTCTTACTTATTTCTCTGATAACTGCAATCTTTAAAAATGTAAATGTAATGTCAATCGTCATCTTCTGATGCCTTGATCCCCGTTCTTCTTTTCATCCTCGCCCTTGTACTCAGTCTTTTCTCTTACTTTCACTCTCTGTAACCCGTTGCCTAGTAGTGGCACTCCTGTCTTGCCTGGGGTGAAATGCTTAAAAATGTAAGGGAAAGATAAAGGTTAACTCAGGGAAGCGGAAGAGGTTAAGATTGTAGTCGCCGGGAAAGCACCTTCTTGAGAAACTGTTCCATAAAGTACGGGATCGCAGGAAGAAGCTGTCCGAGAAGAACCTCTTTCTTGCTAAAGGAATACGAAAGGAATAGGGATGGTTCCTTTCCCGTGTAAGGGACTGGTGAAGGTTAGCTGTGAAGGTTCGAGCTGCAGGAACTAAGGGACATTTCGATTAGAAAGAGGCTTATGACACTTCGTTTGTGGAAAAACAGTTGTAGGGCGGTAACTACCCCTTTTCCTTCTGACCTGGCTCTTCAAAACTTGCCAGGAGGAGTCAGATACCTTACTGGAGCAGTACAACGAACCGACCGATTTTCCGGCATCTTTAGCGACTGATCGTGTATGCGTTTCACATGAGATCTGGAATGAACTGAAATCTCAATAGTCGTTCAAATCAGGGAAGCTACTTAACAGAACACTCGTTCATCGCGATATGAGATTTAATCAAACTTTATTAAAGAAGGGTTGTTTATATTTCATGGTTAATATTTTTAGTATGTTTTGTTTCTTAATTTATATCGTATAAAACTTTGTATTATCTATATTTGTTGGTTTTCTTCTGTTTTTCGTTGTGTTAGGTGGTGATGTGCGATTTAATAGAGCTATTAGCAGATAAATGGCAAGTTAGTCTATGAGATAAAGTAGTAATTGTGCAAGCAATATGAAATTCTTTTGAATATTTATTAATATTTGAGAAATTTGATTTTACTGTTATTGTATTATTGCTAATGATAATATTAGAAACTACTACTCTTTATTGTATGAAATCTGTTTAATTTGTTTGATTAATCTTTCTTTCTAATTCGTAATTACAGTGGAATTGCTAACAACCGGACTAAGAAGGCCTTCCGGATATGAGGAATTGGTTACAAAGTCCGGATATGAAGGGTTATATTTAGATTAAAATAAAAGAACTGAAATCAGGTTTAACATTTATTTTCAATGTTTTATAGCAAACAAAATAAACCAATGATAAATGAAATATAACGGAATTGATTTTAAGGAAAAAGAAATAAATTATGTAATGTTAATGAAAATTCATTAAATTAAATATGCCCCGTATGCAAAACAAATAATGTAACGAGGATTTTTTAATCGCTGTTGCATGATGATTCTTTCTCTTCTAATGTCATTCTCAACTTTTCCCGCATTTCGTTTTGCCTTTGTTCTTTGAATTTTTTAAACAAAAGACACGTTTTTAACTCTCCGTGCGTTATTGCAATCGTCATAGCTGAATGCTGGCTTTCTTACCATAAAACTGACAAGCTTTTCAATAGCTTTTTTCAATCTCAGTCCAGGTTTCATCACAATCATGCATCTCGTCGCCATCTTGTTGCAGATGTGTCTCGTTGTCATCCTTTCCTCTTATTCCCATCATCTTTTGCACCAATACAAGCCATTATGTTGAAATAAGCATAAGCAATTATCCAAAGTAAATTTTCTGAAAAACAGAAATTTCAAATCAATTACATATCACCCAAAATAGTTTAAATCATGTCCGGATATGTGGGATGCCAGATATGAGGCACTCCGGATATGAGGGATTCCGTATATAAGGGAGTCTACTGTATTATGCAATTTGTTTCGAAATTAAAAATATAAAAAAAAATTAATCAACAATAATTTCCTAAACAATCAAACCAACCATACAAAAATTAAACAGGATCAATTGCTTAAATAAGATTAAGGAGCAATACCTTTGAAAATTTCACGGCCTTCTTATTAGACTTTTCTTATGAATCTTACCTTAAGTTAATGGCTTAATAATCTGCTTTCGAGTTTGATATTCATGGAAATTCACCAATTACCTTGATTAATATTGAAAGCTTAACAACTTTAACAAAATATTAGAATAACGATCATAAATATAAATGCAAGTCGTTATTTTAAGAAATGGGTACAAATGAATAGGTTTGAAACTGACAAGATTTTCCTTTTCACTTAAGCAGAAATTAAACATTTGAGAGTATTATCGCCTGCCATTTCTCTCTTTCTTTCCTTTTTACTTACTTATTTGCCCCAAAGCAAAACGCGCCTTGATATATATTTTCTACCGGCTATCCTTGAATTAAAACGGAAATGGTCCATTGTTTAACTAAGGCAATGGCACGCTGTAAAGTATTTGCTAACCAAGAAAGAAGCACAATTATAATAGAAATAATAGTAAAAATACTAAAATATATATATATATATATATATATATATGTATGCGTAAACATATATATATATATATGTATGTGTGTGTGTGTGTGTGTGTGCATAGATTTATAGATAGATAGGAAACACAATGAGATAGATAGATTTATCTCCTTATCAGTGATGAATACGTTCTAAGAAAGTCATCGGGTTCGAAAATTTTCTGAACGCACCATCTGCTATATAGGCGACTTTTCATTACGAGAAATTACAGCCTATGATAAATTTGAACAGATAAAGTAAGCCCAATAAGGGTTTAGCGACAACTGCTAGGCATCAGTCTTATCAATTAATCAAAATCAATTGTAACATAGAACAACAAGAAATCTTGAATCACAAAAAGAATTGTTCTTTTATGAAGGAACACATGATGAAGATTAGGAGGAGGAGGAGGAGGAGAGTGGGGAAGAAGATGGAGAAGGACGAGGCGGTAAGGAGATTAGAAGATTAGAAGAATAAGAAAGAAAAGAGAAAGAAAGATTAGAAGAAAAAATTAAAATAGTAATAACAGGGAAGATCGAAAGAAGAAGAAAAAGAAGAAGGAGAAGTAGAAGAAGAAGAAAAAGAAGAAAAGAAGGAGTATAAGACAAAAAGAAGAAAAGAAGTAGAAGAAAAAGGCAGAAGAAGTAGAAAAAGAAGAATAAGAAGTAGAAGAAGAAAAAGGAAAAGAGAAGAAGTAGAAGAAGACGAAAAAGAAAAAGAAGTAGAAGAAAAAGTAGAGAACGACGAAAAAGAAGAAAAAGAAGTAGAAGAAAAAGAAGAAAAGAAGGAGTATGACAAAAAGAAGAAAAGAAATAGAAGAAAAAGAAGAAGAAGAAGAAGAAGAAGAAGAAGAAGAAAAAAGAAGAAGTTGTGCTTCTCTGTCGAAAGCGTTTTCATGTGGCAAGTGAAATGCGCCATAGAATTACATCGTTGATTGTCCAAACTGCAAAAGTTGTAGGCATTTCCTTGTTTCAATTTCCCAACTGATGAGCCAATGTTGAGAGGGAGAAACGTTTTCATTATCAGAAGGCTACGGGCGCGTAGTTGTTTGACATACTTATATACCTAGAACAGTTTATGGTATTATTATGAATAACCATTTTAAGATAATTAGACTCAATATTTATTGATAACAAAAAAAAGAGAGGAAGCAATGAACATGAAAATATAAGTGATATAACAAAGAAATAAAGGATAGAAAAATGTATCTTTGAGTTACTCTGTTGGAACTTTGCCAAATGTTTTCCTTTCTTTCTAACCATTCTCTCCTTTCAGTTCTTTTAAACTGAAGATATATTCTCAAATGGTTCTGGGCAAAATCCATTCTTAATAAAACTGCTTTGCTTCAGCGCACACAGTTTCTATGTTAAGTTGCGATAGGTCCTGAAAACCTTTTTGGCATTTCTACAGAAACGCACCGTTCAAAGAAATAATCTTTAAATTCTTTGCAAATTCATTCCCCCTCGCTATGAAACTTTATTTTAATTTCAAATAATTTAAAGTTAAACTTAAAAAAAAATACTTATATTGTTTAAATCATATGCTTACATGTTTTTAATAAAATAATGTTTATATAAAAATATTAAATAATTTAAAAACAGCTGTGAAATATTGATATAAACCATATTCTTACTTATATATCACATTATTATTATTATTATTATTATTATTATTATTATTAATTGGCACATGGCCTAGCTTTCCGACCATGAGGTCACAGTTCGAATCCTTCCATTGTCGATTTGTCAGGACGGTGATTTCTTGATATTATCGACCTAGATAAGGGATCCTAGCATAGATCACCTTTGAAAAGTGACCGAAAAATCATACCACGGGTTGATCCAAGCCTTGTGAGTGAAATTAGGTAGACGGAACTATTTGAGAGCCGTCGATGGTTGAGCGAGCACGAAATCACAAGTCCTCGTGACCGTGGTTTTGAGTCTACTGGCCTTTTTCAGATTGCGCTGTCTTCCATAAACTGAAACTAAGGTCTGGTAATCATAGTTGTAATATAAAGCGCAGATAGGCCCTGTGGGTATTGAACAAACACAAATGCGCCTGAGAAGCTGTCCTAGCAGACAAGTATAAACGATACGAGCGGTCATTATTATTATTATTATTATTATTATTATTATTATTATTATTATTATTATTCCCTTTGATTTCTGTTGTATACACATTTCATTCCGGGTCCCAACCAGAGACCTAACATTAGAAATGGCATCATCACATTTTCCACATTATTGTAAAAATAAATAGAAAAATAATAAAACTGATATTCATGGACCTTTTTATAGGATGTGAGCTATAATAGTGTACTTTCCACCCAATACCAGACCCAAGAGGCACTAGAGGTAGAGGGTTGCTGTATTGTAAACCTCTACTTCTCTTCAAAAGACTGGTAAGGAATTTGAACCAGACTATCTACCCCTATAAAGAAAGGGGGAAATATAATTAATGAAGGCGGAGACATCAAAAGTATAGAGTTGAAGTAGTCCTCAGAAGGAACCGGAAATCCAATCCTAAACAATAAGCAAGGGATAAAACTGTACTCCTGTTCCAAAGATCGGCGAGGAGTGTAAACCGGACGAAAGGAGAATCTATCTACTCCTATTTTTTAAAATATAAGCCACCAGGGATTCTTTCAATAAGTCTATAAGAACCTTTTCCAGGCAAACTCAGGGCCCCAAGGACTACTAGAATTAATGTTATCTTCATGTGTACCATTTTTTTAGATTTCCACTTCAAGATCCTTGTATTTTGATAGATTTCTGCAGATCTTCAGAGATACATTACAGTCTGAAGGAACTGCCCTGTTAACAAGAAAACCTGTTCCGCTTTTGTGGTCTTTGACTAAGATGTATCGACAATTAGCTTTGATTAGTTTGTGCATTGTAAAATCACATAAAATTAGTACAGGTCTTATCTCTATGTTTTCTGCTTTGTATCCTGTAGAGCCGAGGCCACACTATGGTCCCTATAGGAGAATTGTCATTTAATTGATAGCACTTTTCTTAGTATATTGGATGTACCTAGTAGGATCTTCTGAGCAACTTGTATGTTAATGTTACCTGGGACACGGTTCGTATAACTGTCCATTCCTTTTCTCACGAGGCCCACAGCCCCGATTGCTATTGGTACAGTCTGTCTTCATTCCCCACATTCTCCTGTTAATCTCGATCTACAGGTCATTGTATTTGGATAATCTCTCGATAGATTTCATGGAGATGTTTCTCTCAGATGGTACTGCTACCTTCAGAATGTCTTGTCTTTTATGATAATATCAAATCCTTTGGCTTTTATTTCACTGTCAGTTTTAATTGGCATGTCCCAGAGGATAGTTACATCGTTATTTTGGGTAACTGTACCTAGTTGGTGATCATACCATGTCTCAGTGGTTTCGATTTTGTGTTTCTCGCATATCTTCCACTGCACATATGTCGATATCTTGTTATGTCTATAGGTATATTCATTTTTGCTAGTTCCAGACATCGTGAAATATTATTATTATTATTATTATTATTATTATTATTATTATTATTTCAATTTACTTACTTTTACCTCCTTTTGGTTAAAGTTGGAGGAATTAATTTAGAAGGAATATATATAGCAAATTAAACTCAGCTCTTAAAATTTATAAAATTAAAAAAATAAGTCTATCGTTATCTGGATTGCTTCATCGATGGTAATAGAGAAAAAAGACGTTTGAAAAAATAAAGATTATTTCGTGGAGATGCGTCTCTGTAGATAGACTCGATAATCACCAGACACAAAGACGCTTCAAACATATGAGAAGGAAAAATAGGAAAAAATAGCCTTGAGCCTTTCTCTGCTAAGCTTAGTAAATATCAATTATTTAGGCGACGGAGATGTGGTTCTACAGAAGGCTGCTAAGGATATCATCGACCGAGCGTGTGAGCAAAGATGAGGCTTTAGAGAGGTTGCAAACAAGGAGGAGGATTAGAAAGAGGCAGCTGAAGTTTCTGTCAGATATAAGGAGGAAGGAGGGCTTTGAGAATCTGATACTCACGGGTCAAATAGAGGGAAAGAGAGACAAGGGAAACAACATGTGACATACTTGGCGGACTTAAGCAAGTGGATGAAGGGAGGAAGCAGAGGTAAGGAACTTGTTGAGAGCTGCAAGGGATATAGGGAGGAGGAGAACCATGATTGCCTACGTTCTGAACTGAAAGGACATGGCACATAAAAAGAAAAAGAATATAGCAGTAGTATTAATCGTAGTAGTAGTAGTGATGGTGATCATGATGACGTGCCTGGTAAACCCATATCTGACTGGACCTCACGATGGTTATACCATGCTTCATGTATTTGTACCCCAGCATTTCTTGGTTAGCGTTCTGCTATCTCGTTCAATAATAATAATAATTCGTTTTATACGAAGATTAGCAGCATGGCCCGGCATTGCCCGTGCTTGATTCAAAAATCGTACGACTCATACAGCAATTGCTATCACTTGAATTAAAATATTTTTGCCCTTCCTTGCCTTTAAAGGAGTGCCATTTGCCGTGCTGATGTTGCTACATGCCTTACTTTTTGACTATCTCACACTGAGAATTTTTTCTAAGCTCTATACTAAACATTAAATCTGTTAGGAAAAAAGAACTAAACAAAATGAACACAAAACGATCAGCTTTAAAAAAGGACTCGTAACTGGAAAAACCGAATGAAAAAAGAATGTTAACAACAAATACTTTTTCACACCTAACCCAGTTCTGCAGAATCAGAATCAACGTTGAGTTTAAGCAAGCGAATGAGCCAATTGGAGTAAAGTGCGATGTAGATTTAAATTTTTCCAACTTGAGACGAATGCAGCTATCGATTTTTTTGCATGCTAGCATGGTAGTTAACATTCGTGTCAGTCATCTGTTGGATCTCACGCTGGCCAGTAGAATCTTCCTGCCTATTCGTGGCAGCCAGCTATTGGCTCTCACTCTGGCCAGTAGAAAATGGCTGCAAACTACATGAAAACTGCCGTAGAAGCATTAAGAAATCTATTATTTCCACTATCGATGGGAGTTAGGAAATGCAATGTCGGTCTTGGCCTTCCCGCTAACTTGGAGCATGTGCATGTAAATTTTGGTGCAAATCCGTCGAAAATTGCGGCCGTGCATTCGTTACAAACACACACACACACACACACACACACGCATCCTGCCTTTTATAGATAGAGATATTGCGCACCAGAGTGCTTCTCCAGAGATATTTATTCTGGAGTCATAAGAAATTCTGGGCCTCTACCACATCAAATTTTCTCTCCCTGGGCCCAGTTGAGAGCAACCATTTCTCGACTAGCATTCTGGCATATCTTTCTCATGATTGCAAGAATTGTAAACAATATTTGTGCCTACGCAAATGAGTTTCTTTTATTTAATTCTATGTAGGAATTTTGACCAATCAAGATTTGTTTAAATTTTTAACATTTTTTTTTGTTGTTGTTGTCACGATGATTATACTATGCTCTGTATATTTGTACCGCAGTGTCTCTTTTTTGGCGCGTTGTTCAATAATACCAAATAACTTGATACTACACAGACCTTGGCTCGCATGCCTTCTGGCCATAAATGGTTGATGATGTTAACATTTGCATTTTTCGCCTTGGTGAAGTAAGATCAGAATATTCAGTGGCACAAATTTGGTTTTCAGTTGTCTGACTATGACCAATTGGTCCTGATCGCTAAGAGCTGACACGCTGTGAATCTCTTTCTGTCTACCTTATGGTAGTTCTAACTGCAAGTTTATGCGTATAATTTTCTTAAAACCTGTAACAATGTACAACACATTTGGCTGTGATGCATCTGCCTGGTATATCCTTATCTGTCTGCCTGTCATGATATTGGGTTTAATAATTCAAAACCAA